TAATGTAACTATCTCTGCAAAAGGCAAAAACTTCCATATTTATCCTAGTAACTTTCCGAACCCTTACCATATGCTTGTACACTTAAGTAAAAGAGTTGAAAAGTTTTTATTAAGGTTTCGTATATTTCATAAAAAGTTAAGGAAAGTTTTTGTTGGGAATAGGGCATGGATGTGTCCTTTAGGCGTTCTGACACCAAAATCGCGATTACAGACCTCCGCTTCAATTGCAGCCTTACGAAAGTAATTCAGTAAAATCTATCAATGGGTGCTATCAAATGTGTAATCCGAATTCAAAGTGCATTGCTTGCGTTGCAATCTAAAATTCGCAAAGTGGGAAGCATGCGTATAATTTTTGTCTGTTTCTTATATGTTTCGTCTAACTCCATCATTGTTTGCCGTAGTTAATGCCTAAGCTCAAGGTTGGACTAGCAAAGAGCAACGGAGAGTGTAAAAACACCGATGGTCCAAACTTACTCAGCAGGCAGAATCCAGGTTTTAGGGAAAATGCTGTACTCTTTGGGGAACAGTTTCAGCATGCGATTGAGGTTGCGAGCAAGAGCATCCTTTCTACAAATCTCCGACATCCCTGGGAAGTGGTTGATTTTCTACAATTAGCCAAGCACATTTTTGCCATGTTTATGAAGCAAAATCTTTTCGCAACTTTTAATGCGTAATCAAAAAGCCTAATTATATTTGGCTGAAGCAGCTGTTTAGCATTATCTAAAAAGTCAAATAATGCCCTTTTCAACCAATAACTTATGTTTACATTTGAATGCAATAGCTGATCTAAATGATAGTTACCTGCCATTTCTTCATAGAAACCACCCTCTCAATCGTAACTGAAAGATCTGTCCAATAAAGATTCCATTCTTCATCATCGCCTACTTCTCTGAAGCCAAACCTTTGTGAAACGCGCCTAACTGATATGGAAATGTAGGAAGCAATAAGTCGCTTGTATGTGAACATTTTTTGACCTTCTGGTGCGTTTCTGATTTTGATACTCAAAACTAGTACTGTGTTGATTCGCACATTGTGGTGTAATTTGTAAAATAATTTTGTAATAAACAAAGAACTTTAAAAAAAATACTCACCTGAGTCATATCGGCAATTTATTAAGTTTATTTCTAGCCTAAAACAAGTCAGTTTGAGATGCCTTCAATAAATGTAATTACTTTCTTCTTCGCTTAGCCTTTTTTTGTGGCATTCGAATTGAAAGAATTGGCTCCGCATAAGTCCCACTAGGTAAAATTTGATTTTTTGTACAAAACAAGTTTTCTTGATCGAGTGATTGATTCACCTTCAGCTCCTTTTCTGAATCCTTATCGTATTCCTCATAATCATCTACTTCTCCATCCGCCTCGTCTAAAAGCCGGCGTGGCAGTGTCAAAGTCCCCAACTTGTCAACAAGGGTAAATCTCGGTCCATAATTGGTATTACAATCATAATTAGGGTGTGATGCTGCGATACTGCCCTCCTCTGTTTCTTCGTGTGTCTCCAGTACCTCGTCATCTTCTTCTTGATTTGCCACTGGTTCACCTCCAATAAAATTTACTCCACTCCCTAGTAAAATATTTTTTCTAGATAGTACAGTCGCGCAATAGACTTCGGGGACATCATTCTGCTAAAATTTGAGATAAATACAGTGCAAGAAGATGAGCATTTTTTCATCAAACTTTATATTTTTAGAATCGAAGCTGCTAATTATAAATAATTTCTTAAGCAAAACAGATGACAAAAATCTACTGGACGTAATGTTAGCATGAGCTGCACCATCAGTTAAGGACATGAACATAATTGCTAGTTAATCATAGTGATGGCTGAACTATATCTTTTCGCCGTTCAAATAGAATAAAATAAAACATTACTTGATCGTCAATTTTTGGATTTTAATAGTTCCTACTACATTTTGGCTCTAAGTTTATTCCAAAATTTTTCCACATCCTACTGCTCTATGGTATTTTCTATGTTTTGTTGATGGCAAAAAATGGGCAAGAAGTGTTGAATAGGGACTTGACTTACCATAATTATTAACACCGGTTATCACGCATTTCGCGTGAAAATAAAAAGGGCGGCTGACTCGGCTGCCTGGTGCTGTTGGTTACTTAGTTATTTAAACATTTGAACTAGTGGTATAATAAAAATAATGCAAGTATGTATGCACTGATTTGTATACTATATTATCATGATGTTATCTGAGACGTCATACATTGTGATGAATAAACATAATGAACTTTAATTTTTTTGCGATGTCACAGTACGTCCGGCAGGCCTATAAGCAGCGACGCTCTTTAGTTGCCTTTGGACCCATGCCCGTATATACGAATTTAATTTTACATCGAAAGGGTGGGATTTTATCAGAGCATTAAACCTTTCCTTTTCTGAGCTGCAAGTGCTCTAAAGCGAAAAGCCAGATGCAAGCCTACTGTGCGAGGATAGAGGAGCGCATGGTTTCCGCAATACTTTATTTATGTTATCACCCAATGCTTGACGATTACATTGAATTCAGTCTTGCCTGTATTCTCCTTGGCTGGCCTGTGGACCATTCCGAGGCCCAACCACTTCCAATCCTCACCGAATTTGTGTATTCAGTTTAAATTAATGTCTTCTGCTTCTCACTGGGAAGTATCGATTGCTACACTCAGAGGTTTGCTTCCGTTTTCTGCCTTCAATTTCGGTTGTACTACTATTCGCTAAGGCAAGGCTCAGTTTAAATGGTAACTCTAGCACTCCAAAAGGTAGGAGAAGGCATTACGCTAGGCATAATACATGTTTCAAGAAGAGACGAAGAAATAGCGCCCTTGACGTGGCCCGGACCACACGTACAGGGGTCAGATGAATACACATGTATCAGCCAAACATCGGGTGATCACAAGAAACAATTATTATATTAATGTCCCCAGACTTCCTATTAGATAGCAGAAGACCCATAACATAGCTAATTGTTTGCATATATGGAGACAGGGTAGGCGCAAATCTGTGACAACTTGAAGGCGGACCCACTGGACAGAAGTACTTTGGTCGCCAAAGTGATCACCGCTTGTATAGGTATACAAATGAACAAAGCACCACATTAGGCTTGAGTACATAAATCAAGGTATCTATTGCAGCGTCCCATAACTCCCCATTTTTTAGTGGAAGGCATAAGACTTAACTGAAATTTTGTACTCAGGAAGGATGGATGGATGGATGTGAGACTTTGGCATTCCCTTAAGGCCACCAAAGTGGCAATCAATTATCCATGTAATCGGATCGACAAGGCCTACACTTCCACAGCGGAGTCTAAAGTCATTATGTCTTAGCATTATGACCACCAAATATGCATCTACCAGATTGAAATTGATTATAATTGCCTTATTGGAAAATGTTGCATTCAATGGTGTTAGTAAAACCACCATCTGGTCGTACGTCCTCAAGTACCCAAAAAAATGCTAAAGCAAATCAAGGTTGTAGCATAAATCCCTCGTATTATTGGTTTTCTACGTAAACAAAGTTATGTAGACCAATAAAATGAACTTCCACGAAGAGAACAAACCCAATTATTTCAGAGCGGTTTTTAAGCCATCGATAAGAGACGTGGAACGGAGCATAATAGTAAGAAGTTAAGGGGGCACATTAAATTCCCAACACAGACCGGACTTTCTCATAGCAGGCGTATGATATGCTGACGGCCGGGATCACCTTCAACATATTGGCGCCCATTCCGCGGTAGAGACCCATTGTGCCTTCGGTTTTAATAATTCTTTGGAAGAGCTTTTTCAATGAGATCTGCAACCGTGGTAAATAACACAAAAAATGCACGCGCATAGGTGGGGTAAAGAACCCGATTTGGAAGCTTCAGTTATTATCCAAACACAATTAACCTCGAAGAGGTGATGTTTTAATAAGTTTCATTTAAAAGATGACAAAATATCTGTGGTATGGATTACCAGTTATTGTATTTCAATACCGAGAACGATTTTCTAACCAGCATTACGAGGTGGGAGAGCATCGGCGATTCTGTTTAATTTATGTTGCTACTAGCTATAAAGAACTAGTAATACGCCGTCACCTGTCACCAAACGCCCGTTTCAATATGCGCAGACATCCTTTCCCAACCTGGCGCTATGCGCTGTTGTATGGTTCAGGGGAGCTTTACGAGAGCACTGCACGGTGTTTCACAAATTAGCAAACCTGCCAATGCACCGAAACAGCTATTACCAACGATTAGATGGCTTGCAATTATCCATAATACGCATTCAGGTTTTGACTCCTAACCAACAGGTGTTTCTCGAGGCAAAGTATTGCAGACTGTTTTCATGTGAGTAGGTGTACGTACTCTAGCTGGCGGAAAGGGGGGAGAAGAGGGACGCACCTTTTCGCTTTCTGCCTGGAGTTTAGTTTTAATTAAAGCAAGAGGGTAAGTAGCGACTTGGCCACAGACGGAGGAGCAGGCACCCGCGGTCAGTGAGACGTAGACAGGCGGTCCAGCCAGTTTCTGAGTTCCCGATTTCTCCGTACTTCTGTTAAGAGCCTTTATGTAGAGTGTCTTGAAGGTCTCATAGAGAGCTAAGTCGATGCCAGCGTAGGGTAGGATGCCCACCAGGTTCGGAACATAACCTCGGTAGAATATCCATATCCCTTGTTCTCTATAGAGCTTCTTTGCACAGTCAAAAATTGACGAATACTGACCCGTTTTGCGAAGACACATGCGCGTTTTCAGCACCTGTGAAACGTTTCGCGGGCATTGAATATGAGATGGAAGCCAACACAAGAACATATTCAAATGCAGGCACAAAGTGACAACCGGGTCTACTTTTGGAGTCGGATATACTGATTAGGAGGAGTGTTTCAACTTTAACTCTTCACGGTTGGGCTTACCTCACGTAGTACAATAGAATTTGTTCAGTAGAACCCGACTGTATGTGATTTATCGCAACCAAAGCTAGTTCCCGAATTCAACATTGCAATTATTGATGACTGTGTTATGGACCTAAGAGTATTGAAGTTTTAGACACAAACATGCTTCAAATGCGTTGTAAGTGATATAATTTAACTGATGCTAAAGATATTTTACCTTGATTTTAACTGAGGGCTCGTGGACCGAGTACCACTTCTTCAGCAACGTGGAGGTGTACACAACCGGAGTCACTCAAACTGTCATCTTTAAATTTATTTCAATAAAATGGTCATGGCGAAACCCAAGTAATGCTTATATAAAATAAACTGTGAAAGTGATGGGTGCAGTGATGAAAAGACGGAAAGCTAGGTTTTTAAAGGAGAGCAAAGTAACATGTGCACAACTTAAAGTTCACTCACATTTTCAACCTATGCAAATAGAAAGGATTCACTCTTATGACCGAAAACAAACGCATTTATTGTGCAATTTATTGCCCTAAATATTTTGGAATACTACGTTTTTTCTCATCCTGGTATGTGAAAACCATAATGGTTGATAGTGAATTTAAAAATAAAGCAATAATAAGTAGCTTTATTTACTGTCTTCTCACCATACCTCCATAGGGTAAATGAGGGTTTGTGAGGTGGCTCCTGCAAGTGCGCCAGCGGTAAACTTTTCCGGCATCGATAGAGGCTCAGTGGAACCGTCCTTCTTGAAAAACAGCTTCTTGTAGGTCTCATAAGCTTGGAAGCGGAAAGCCTGTTCCGGCGCTATTTTGATGCAGTTGACACCGTTACCACGCCACATGGAAGTGTATCCGCCCTCCTTCAGCATACGCCGAAAGGACCCCACCAGGCCCGTGGAGGCAGCTCGACCGCCGCGAGCCTGGTAGATCGTTTTGATTCGATCCAAAGGCGCAGTCGCTGTCCTCGACACGCACCCGGCGATTCCTAGCCAAACACGCAATGAAGCTTCCACTCACTCTTGAATTGCCACCATTCATCTCCGTTTTATGTTTAAAGCCAATGAATCCGGTATACAAATAGTTAATTCAATAAAACCGCCTATTCAAGCCTACTGATTTAAATATTGGTCATATCTTTGGTCAGAAAATAGTTTTAGCACTTTTTGCCTGCAAAAATGGATGCTATGAAATGTTATTTTGGCTAGGATGCATTGTACACAAAGTGAACTTAATAAAACAGACAAACTAAGTCAGCGTTCTCGCTCTTTGTTAAAATGTCACACATTTGACGACTAGGCTGCACCTTTAGAAAGTCTCCCTCATAAAGAGGGCTGCTTAAACTATGCTTAGACTGCTCACCTCTGATTAGCGGTATCTTACGGAAGGGTCGAAATTCTCACGTCGTCGGTTTCATTTTTGAAGTACCCAAACGTGATTCCAGTTCTTAGTTTGTTGGAAGCATGAAAAAACTTATAAATGTTTCGTATAGCAAGAGTCTTGTTCACAGCTGAGTCCTCATGAGAGGCAAGAGAATTAACAATCAGTATGTTCCTTTTTGTGACTAATTTATGCTGTCAACACCGAGTGTCACACACAAAAACAATTTTTTTGCATTCGCCAAAAGGTAACCAGACAAGAGTGAATTCGACTACTGTTTCTGGAAGTAGTCTTCCATGTTCTGAACTTTAAGAGCGCAAAATCTTGCTAAATCAATAGGACCAAGAGAATTAGTTTTAGTAAGTCCATGAAATAATACGTGAATATATGGAGCATTTCATTGGTAAAATTTTGACGACTAAAAAATTTGGACAAGAAAATGCACCGCATCCTGAGGAGTCATGTTGGTTAGATGCAATAGCTCCCGACTCTACTTACTCATCTGACGGGCCTATTGTCAGCGCAG